ATGAATCGGAGCAAAACCCAAACAAAATAAAGGGCAAACCACCAACTTCCCATAAAGAACTGAAAAGGTAATTAAGACTCTCCCAAGCCCCAAATCTAAATGGTAGAGCACTAGCTCAATAGATGCCCAGGTGTTCCCGAAAGCCCCGCCCCTCAAGGAGGCGGGGCGAGCAGGGCGGGGCGGGGCTTGCCCTGCTAGACCACGCCCCAATGGGCGGGGTGTACGTGGGCCAGCTGCGCTGGAGCTTACGCACCCCCGCCGTTTCCTAGGAGATGAAACACACAAGACACCAGAGCTTGACCCGGGAGCGAAGGTAAGCGGCCGGCGCGGGCAGGTAATCCCGAGAGGGCTGCCGGGCCGCCACCCTCCGTCCGCCCCAGCCCGAGCCTTTCCTACGAGGCCAGCCTGGCATGTCCACTCGGCGCCGTGTCCTACCAGGGCCAACCTCCGCCAAGAGAAGGGGCCTGGACACTGGTAGGGGGAGGGACTGGAGGGAGGAGATCGGGGAGGGGCGGAGCGGGCGGGAGGGGGTCGGTGCTGCTGCGATCGGTGCTCTCCGACGCCCCCTCGACCACTTTCCTGCGTCCTAGACGGTGAGCTCGGTCCCGGGTGGGAGGATGACGGCGGGGCATCCATCAGTCTGAGGGACCTCGCTTCCCGAATCTCTCCGCATAAGGCCCCCCAACCCTCCAACTCCTCCTCTCCCACTGCTGCTGGGGCTGAAGCGGAAACTACTTTCAGGAGTAAGGGGCGGGATCGGGCTCGAGAAGGCAGCGGAATTGCGTTCAGTACTGCTGCCAAGTAAAAAAGGAGGGAGAAGAAGGAGAAAACTGGGTCCAAATCCAGTCCTTGTTCGTGCATCCCAAATGACTCCCAGGTAAAAGCGGAGTTCCGGCACAGGGTGGCCCTGGGGGGCGCCCCGCCGAGCCGGCCGCGGGGAGCAGGGAGAGCACCCGCCCGCGGAGGCACACTCAGGGCCTCGGGGCCGCCCCCTGCGAGCAAACCCTGGGTTGGGGAAAAGGATCAGAGGGTCCGTGTAACGAATACTATTTCTTTACTGCAAATAAGACGTTTTAATTTAGGGACAGGGTTGGCGGGGGGTCGGGGGGGAGCAATAAAACTGGTTTTTAATGGTTTGTAATCGCAGTTCTAAAAGGAAAGAGATGTATGTAATTGTGTTTAGATAATCTTTTTAAATGAGCAGACATTTGTTTTAATGATAACGGAATTCTCGTAGAGTCAAAGTTATCGGACTCATTTTAATAGAAAAACAACCCATTGTGTCAATATAGTGGTAGAGGCGAAAGTTGCTTTCCAGCCTTTTGGTCTTCCTTTACCTCCCCCATCCCCCTGTTCACCGCAGCTTGGTGGGGAGTGGAGAGACTTCTCCCGCAGGCTGCCGTCTGCTGCGAGGATGTTTGATCTCTTCGTTGGGGTGGGTTTTTTTGTTTTGTTTCGTTTTAAAATACGTAATTTGTGAATCTTAGCACAAAGCACTATGCTTTTATTTTTTAACACAGAATCTTTGTTTTCCCATTGTAAAAGCGCCCCTTTTATTTTCTGTAAACATTTGAGTTGGTTAGTTTGAAATCTTTTTTCTTTTGCTTTTTAAACAACTTAGTGATTTGTAAGATATTAATTGCTTTTTTTTTTTTTTTAACAAACTTTAATGCCAGCCTTGGAGTGATACCATTACAGTAGGTTCTACAAAGACAAGGTGAAAACATCCAAATGTTACCTGTCCTGTGATTGGCAGACACCATTTTACCCTCTGTTTGCCCTCTATGTTAATCTTCTTTAATCCTCTCTAAATCCCTTATTAGCTGGCAGAAGCTGTGGAGAATAAAGCTCAAGTTTACAGTAATTGCACACTTAGATAAGCAGTAGTTGTACATTTAGAAAACTAGAATAGGAGAGGAATTATATGGGTATTTATTTAATGTAGGTCTAAAATTGAGCCTCTAAATAAATGTCTTTTTCTTTAAATCAGAATATGAAGTTTGTTTAACCTATAGGAAAGTCAGTAAATATTGTAGCTTGATTGTAGAAAATTCCAAGTTCCTAACCATTCTTTTAAATTAATTGAAGATCATAGTTATATTACATTTACTTGTGCTTTAGCCTTGTTGCATATATATACATATATATGGAAATAGTCATGTACATAAGAAATCATGTTAATATATCCCTATTTTGCAGAATTAGTTTTCCATAGATCAACAGAGAAGATATATGTAACTTGTAGAGAAATATTATTGTGTGTGAACTGGGGACCTATAGGCAGTCTATGTTTCTTAAGTTATATACACTGCTTTTTGACTAGTAATCAGTTTAGGGCCTTGCTATGCTACACTGATACAAGTAGTTGCTTATGTGCCATCAGTAAGTAGGTATGTGGGAACAATGATTGAAAAAAAACCCCACTTTACCTTTATATCTATGCGTCTTTACATTAGGCCATTGTCCTTACATTTTCAGGCAGATAAGGGGACAGCTGAAATGATCAGCTTGTCACCCTGGAGAACTATGTATTTTGTAATTAATATGACTCAAAAGAGTCATATTAATATGACTCAAATTTGCATATGCAACAAATTTGCAAAGAAAAGACGATGCTAGGGGCTGGCTCTGTGGCCTAGTGGTTAAGTTCGGGGCACTGCTTTGGTGTTCTGGGTTCGGTTCCTGGGTGTAGACCTACACCACTTGTCAAGCCATGCTGTGGCAGTGACCCACATACAAAATAGAGGAAGACTGGTATAGATGTCAGTTTAGGATGAATCTTCCTCAAGCAAAAAGAGGAAGATTGGCAATGGATGTTAGCTCAGGGCAAATTTCTTAAATAATTTTCAGGGTGGGGTAAAAAATAATAATAATTTTCATGAGGGGAGCTCCAGGTAGACTACCTTCTCCCTTATTCACACTCTCTTTCCCTTCACTGTTTCTAGCTTCTTATTTTTACAATGTCTTTGCAGGTATAGGATGAGCCAGATGTTGCCCCAGTGTTTAGTCAGGGTAGGGAGCACCATTTGCATTTTACAGTTTGTCAGTAGCATCTTAGTATCTTAGTGTTTTAAGGTGAGGAGTTGGGTTAGGAGTCTTAAGGTGGCAGTGGGGGGTAGGCAGCTTTGATTGTGGGGTAGATTCTGCATGGTTTGGGAGCAAAGAAGGGTGGTTCCTTTAGCTGCATCAGTGATTATAAAAGCTAGTGAGAATGGGTTGTTTAGAAGTTGGGGTCTACACTAAAAAAACCAAACAGCTTCAAGCTAATGCAAGTATTAGACTGATTCTGTCATTGATTCTCTGACTGATCACAGATAGGTCATTTAATCCTTCTATGTTTTTATTTTACAATTTTACTGATATGATGAACATTATGGCCTTTTGGACAAATATATTCTCTTTATTGTTACTTAACCAGAAAGAATCAGTCAACCTATAGAGAGCACATTTCCTTAAAAGAGATAAGTGTATGTCACCTTAAATAGGGTAACTAGAAAGGAATTCAACCGGTTTAACATGTTAATGATAAATTGCAAAATACTGATTTAATAAAATTCTAATTATCAGAAGAAATACATTTCACTCCATGGTTGGTTTAATCATAGCACATAGTACAAAACAAACAGCCCAAAAGATCATTCAAAATTATATTTCTTTATACAGATAAAGGACAAATTAAGGAAAGCAAATACATGTTTTGGTCAGGAACCCTGTAGAGGGTCGTTGGCTTTCTCTATAGTAATGTCTTAATATTTAGAATCTGAGTCTAGGTATAATGTAAGGACCACTTACAAAAAACTTGATTTTCAGGCAAATTGGGAACCATTTGTTAAGACCATTTACTTAGGCTTAAGCTAAGAAAAATGAAGGAACCCCTAAATAGAACTGGAATCTACTATCGTGATCTCTTTTTCAAGATATTGGCCACAGAGTGAGTTAGCATAGCCTAAATTATTTCACATGTGCCTTTGAAGGGGTTATTAGTAGTATGAAATAAAATAAATGATAAATTAGTACACACTCCCTGTTATCGAAAAGCCCCACAGCGTTCTTCCAAAGTTTCCTGTGGACAAATACTTCCTGTAGGAAACAACCGAGTTTGACTGTAATTCTCTGCACATGTTTGTTTGTTTCTCCAGAAAGCCTGTTTTTGGAAGTCTTAGGTACTTTGACAACTACAGCATACCCTTGTTGGTCCTAAATTTCTGCACATAATAGAGAAGCAATTTCTATGATTTTATTTTATTTTGTGGAAATAAGAGAGTGCTACAGTGAAAGAAAAATAATCTTTGAATGAATTACCAAATTATAAAAGACATTTGAAAGCAAAGTATTTATTTTAATGGTGCCAAACCATTTGTTACCATCTGCAGCTAAGCACAGAGTCTTGTAACAGAATGATAAAGATCTCTAAAAGCAAAGTAAGAATGATAAATAGGTATGAATTGAGAAATGTTCCTTGAAATGTGGAACTAAGACAGAACAATGGGAGGAAACTATTGAATGTTGTAATGAGGTAGACACTAAGGCTAGTGCTTTGTTTTTCTTTAATCTTAGGAATAAAGTCAGAACCTATCGAAACCTGTACTCTTCTAATATATACAGATCCACAATCCCTTATCTGTAGTTTTGAAATCCACAAAGCTCTGAAAGATGAAATTTTTAAAATAAATTTGTGCAAACTCATTTGCAGCAAAACGTGAGGCCATTTGTAGTCTTCATTTATTTTGCTTAGTATACTTTTCATACATTTTTATGCAGGTACATTAAGATAGTGCTTGGGAGGTGTTACATAACATATGGTATATGCACCATATTACTTTTCTAAAATATCAAAATTCCTGGATTCCAAACACATCTGGCCCAGGAGTTTCACATAAGGTATTGTAGGTCAAATGAAATATGCAAAAATTGATTTGAAGAAGGGATATAGTGTAGATGTCTGATTTTCCAGGGTTCGATTTGGAATATTATAGATTATATTCAATAAAAAAGGAATCATACAAATCATTAAGCCAATATTTATTGAACATTCATGAGATAAATAGCACAGTACCATGTAAATGAAGCATTTACCAAATGAGTATTACCAGTCTATTACATTGAACTTCGTTCATATGAATATTCATTCATAGCACAAACGATTTACTGACAAATGTTTAACACACTGGTATTTATATTATTTATAATTTTTTCTCTGTGCTGTAGGTTACCAGTAAATTTTTTGAAAACATCCTTTAATAAAAATTCGTTTTATTCTTGTTTTGTTTTTTTACAGGGTGTTCATAAGAATGGAGGCACTGTTTCCTTACCAGATTCCTTATTGTTGTATCTCATGAACCGACATAATCTTGGGGAAGAGCCTGTATTTAATGATGACAAACCTGTCACCAGTGTAGCAACAACAGTCTAAGGACAAAAACAAATAAAAATAAAGAAGCATTTAAATTTATACTCAACAAACAAGTCATTTCAACCAGCAGCTTCAGCTGCGTTATTTTTCCAAGATGAATCGGTACACAACCATGAGACAGCTGGGTGATGGCACCTATGGGAGTGTGCTGATGGGCAAGAGTAACGAGTCTGGGGAGCTGGTGGCCATCAAAAGGTACCGTGTGCAATCCTGCAAAGTTGACCTTTGAAACTGATCTTTCTTTTCCTTTGCTTGCTTGAGAATATATACAAGCACAGAAAGAGGTCTGGTTTAGACCTCATGCTTGTTTAGCTAAGGTGGAATGCCATTCTGGGAAAACATTGCCAAAAAGTAATTCCGCTGATCCTCACTTATATTATTTTAATTTTTTGATTCATCCAGTTACATTGAGATATCAAAAAATTAAAAATGCTCTGCTTTTTATGCAAAATACATTTGAACTAAACCTGAAAGTAATGTTTGGAATTTTTTTAGAATTTAAAGTTGAGTACAGAGTAGAGTTTATTATTTCTTTAAAACAATAGGCCTCTAAATGAGACGATATTCACAATATCAAATTGAGTTCTGAATGGCATATGGTATTTTCCTAAGCTTACCAATTAAATAGAATTAATTATTACTAATTTATTTCTTTTAAATCTACTGCATTTGTTGTCTTTCATACATAAAAGATTATCCCAAAGCTTAGGGATTTAAAATAAGAACAAACATTTATTATCTCACACAGTTTCTGTGAGTCAGGAATTTAGAAGCAGCTTAGCTGGGTGGTTCTGGCTCTGGGTCTCTCATGAGGTGGCAGTCAGATATCGGCCAAGGTTGCAGTCATCTGAAGGCTAGACTGGGGCTGGAGGGTCCACTTCTAAGCTGGCTCACTGTATTAGTTTGCTAGGGCTGCTATAACGAAGTACCACAGACTGAGTGGCTTAAACAACAGATTTTTTTCCTCATAGTTCTGGAAGCTAGAAGTCTGAGATTAAGGTGTCAGCAGGGTTGGTTTCTCTGAGGCCTTTCTCTTTGGCTTGTGGATGGCTGTCTTCTCCCTGTGTCCTCACATGGTCTTTCCTCTGTGTATGTCTGTGTGCTAATCTCCTCTTCTTATAAGGACACCAATGATATTGGATTAGGACTCACCCTACAAACTTCATTTAACCTTATTTAAAGTCTATGTCCAAATATAGTCACACTCTGAGGTACTATGGGTTAGGACTTCAACATATGAATTTGGGAGAGGGAACACAATTTGGCCCATAACAGGCTGCTATAACAGAGTTTAAGCCACAGACTGAGTGGCTTAAACAATGGAAACTTACTGATTTACAATCCTGTAGGCCAGAAGTCTAAAATCAAGGTGTCAGCAGGGTTGGTTCCTTCTGAAGGCTGTGAGGAAATGATCTATTCTAGGTCTCTCTCCTTGGCTTATAGATGGCATTTCTCCCTATATCTCTTCCACATTGTCTTCCCTCTATCCATATCTCTGTGTCCAAATTTCCCCTTTTTATAAGGACACCAGTCATTTTGGATTAAGGTCACCCTAATGACTTCATTTTAACTTGATTACCTCTGTAAAGGCCCTATCTCCAAATAAGGCCACACTCTGAGGTATTGGGGGTTAGGACTTCAACATAAGAATTTTGAGGAGGACACAATTCAGCCCATAACACTCACTCACATGGTTGGCAAGAAGTCTCAGTTCCTCTTCACATGGGCCTCTATAGAGAGTTGCTTCAGTGTCCTCAAGACATGACAGTTGGCTGCCACCAGGATGAGTCTTGGAGACTGATTACTACATCAACCAAGTGATGACAATCTAAAATTTAAGTGCTTTAACAAATGTTTATCAAATGTTAAAAACTTTAAAATATCATGATCTAAAACATTACATGTATAAGAAAATAGTTTTATAAAATATTGTCAATAGCCCTTATTATCAAATAAATGTACAATGTACAATAACTGAAATGAAAATTTACTGATTAGGCTTAATAAAATTCAATATCCATTCACGACTGAAGAAAAAAAAATGCAACCCTTAGCAAATAGGAATAAAAATAAACTTTCCTGACCTGATAAGTCATGTAATTCATCATCTTTGGTGAAATATTAGAAGTATTTCCAGTAAAGTTGGTTTTAAGACCATAATGCATGCTATATCACCTACTGATCAAGATTGCACTGGAGATCCTAACTAATGCAATAAGAGAAAAAAAAGGAAATGAGGCATAAGTATTAGCCAAAATTAGATAAAATCATCCTTATTTATAGATTAAGTGATTGTATGAATTCACACAAATACTTAATTATATAAATAAATTTATGTATAAAAATATTTTTAAAGGACTGGAAAAATATACATACAATTCATGAAAGTTGTGGCTTCTGGGGAGGGGGTAAGAAAATGAGAATGAGAGTTGGGTCTGGTGGTATCACATAAAGTCATTACCATTGTTCTGTATTTTTTTCTTTTTCCTTTAAGGGATGAATTTTTCCTTTTATGAATTTTTTTTATTGAGGTAACATTAGTTTATAACATTATATAAATTTCAGGTGTACATCATTATATTTCAATTTCTGTGTAGATTACACCATATTCAGCATCCAAAGACGAAATACCATCCATCACCATACACGTGTACCCAGTCACCAATTTCACCCTCCTCCCTCCCCTTCCCCTCTGGTAACCACCAATCTAATATCTGTATCTATGTGTTTATTTGTTGTTGTTGTTTTTATCTTCTATTTATGAGTGACATCATACGGTATTTGACTTTTTTCTTTGCTTAGCATAATACCCTCAAGGTCCATCCATGTTGTCACAAATGGTAAGATTTCATCTTTTTTTATGGCTGAGTAGTATTCCATTGTGTATATATACCACATCTTCTTTATCCATTTGTCCCTTGATAGGCACCTAGGTTGCTTCCAAGTTTTGGCTATTGTGAATAATGCCGCAGTGAACGTAGGGGTGCATATATCTTTACGCATTCATGTTTTCGTGTTCCTTGGGTAAATACCCAGCAGTGGAATAGCTGGATCATATGGTAGTTCTATTCTTAATTTTTTGAGGAATCGCCATACTGTTTCCCATAGTGGCTGCACCAGTTTGCATTTCCACCAGCAGTGTATGAGAGTTCCCTTCTCTCCACATTCTCTCCAACATTTGTTATTTCTTGTCTTGTTAATTATAGCCATTCTGACAGGTGCGAGGTGATATCTCATTGTAGTTTTGATTTGCATTTCCCTAATAATTAGTGATGTTGAACATCTTTTCGTGTGCCTGTTTGCTTTCTGTATATCTTCTTTGGAAAAATGTTCAGATTTTTTGCCCATTTTTTAATTAGGTTGTTTATTTTTTGTTGTTGAGATGGATGAGTTCTTTATATATTTTGTATATTAACGCCTTATCAGGGGGGTTAGAAGATACTGCAAATATCCTCTTCCAATTGTTAGGTTGTCTTTTCTTTTTGTTGATGGTTTCCTTTGCTGTGCAGATGTTTTTCAGTTTGATGTAGTCCTATTTGTTCACTGTTTCTATTGCTTCCCTTGCCCAGTCAGATACAGTACTTGAAAATATTCTGCTAAGACTGATGTTGAAGAGCATACTGCCTATGTTTTCTTCTAGAAGTTTTATGGTTTCAGGTCTTACATTCAAGTCTTTAATCCATTTTGAGTTAATTTTTGTGTATGGTGTAAGGTAATGGTGTACTTTCATTATTCTTTTGCATGTGGCTATCCAGTTTTCCCAACACTGTTTATTGAAGAGACTTTTCTCTCTCCATTGTATGTTCTTGGCTCCCTTTTCAAAAATTAGCTGTCCACAGATGTGTGGGTTTATTTCTGGGCTCTTGATTTGTTTCATTGATCTGTGTGTCTGTTTTTGTGCCAGTACCATGCTGTTTTGATTACTATGGTTTTGTAGTATATTTTGAAATCAGGGAGTGCGATGCCTCCAGCTTTGTTCTTTTTTCTCAGAATTCCTTTGGCTATTCAGGGTCTTTTGTTGTTCCATGTCAATTTTAGGACTCTTTGTTCTATTTCTCTGAAAAATGTCGTTGGAGGTTTGATAGGGATTGCATTGAATCTGTAGATGGCTTTAGGAAGTATGGACATTTTAAACTCTATTAATTCTTCCAATCTAAGGTCATGGAATATCTCTCCATTTCTTTGTCTTTTTCAATTTCTTTCAACAATGTTTTATAGTTTTCAGTGTACAGGTCTTTCACCTCTTTGGTTAAATTTATTCCTAGATATTTTATTCTTTTTGTTGCAATTATAAATGGGATTGTATTCTTTTTTTGGTGTGTGTGAGGGAGATTAGCCCTGAGCTAACATCCGTTGCCAATCCTCCTCTTTTTGCTGAGGAAGACTGGCCCTGGGCTAACATCCATGCCTATCTTTCTCTACTTTATATGGGATGCTGCCACAGCATGGCTTGATAAGCAGTGCGCAGGTCCCCGCCTGGGACTTGAACCTGCAAACCCTGGGCCGCTGAAGCGGAGCATGTGAACCCAACCACTACTCCACCGGGCCAGCCCCTGGGATTGTATTTGTAATTTCTCTTTCTGCTACTTTGTTGTTATTGTATTGAAGTGCAACTCATTTTTGTATGTTGATTTTATATCCTAGAACTTTACTATATTCATTTATTATTTCTAAAAGTTTTTTGGTGGATTCTTTAGGGTTTTCTATGTATAAAATCATGTCTTCTACAAATAGTAACAGTTTCACTTCTTCCTTTCCAGTTTGGATCTCTTTTATTTCTTTTGCTTGCCTGATTGCTCTGGCTAGAACTGCCAATACTATGTTAAATAAGAGTGGCAAAAACGGACATCTTTGTCGGGTTCCTATTCTTAGAAGGATAGCTTTCAGTTTTTCTCTGATGAGTATGATATTACCTGTGGGTTTGTCATATATGGACTTTATTATGTTGAGGTATTTTCCTTCTATACCCATTTTATTCAGAGTTGTTATCATAAGTGGATGCTGTATCTTGTCAAATGCTTTCTCTGCATGTATTGAGATGATCATGTGATTTTTATTTTTCATTTTGTTAATGTGGTGTATCATGTTGATTGATTTGTGGATGTTGAACTATCCCTGCATCCCTGGAATAAATCCCACCTGATCATGGTGTATGATCTTTTTAATGTATTGTTGTATTTGATTTGCTAGTATTT